ACATCTATAACATTTCTATGATGGTCAATAACAGCTGAAACAGATGCCATTGAACAGGATTAAAAGCTATGTCTCTACTCAGAACCTTGTATTCTTCTCTAAGCCAAGACTGCACACAGAAAGTAGGGAAGTTTAACATGCAATAATGAAGATTTAATGTGTGTGCGCTGCTGGAGTGTTTCTGGATGATTATATTTTAACAAAAGTTAATGGCCAAGTAATGGGAATAACGAGCTGGAGTGGAAATCCAATAGGAGCTTGATGAGCAGAACAGGCTTGTGACAGTATGTCGGAGAAGAAGGTCCCTATGCAGTCTCCATGCTGAGAACCCCTCAAGAGCACTCATTTCAACAGGAAAACTAAATTAATGTGTGCTGATGGGTTTCAGAAATGATGCACTAAAATCTGGAACTATCCTAACTGAAGAGGGGCAGGGGGAGAGAGAGATAGGGAGAGAAATCTTTTTAAAATTACTGAAAATTGTGTGGGGATGGGGTATGTGTAGCAGGGTGGGTGGCATATGCCTGTGTATGCACATAGGTGTGCAAATGTGCATACACATGTATATGTAGGGGGCAGAGGTTGATGTTAGATTATCCATTCACCTTTTAAAATATTTTTACATTTAGTTATTTGCTTTAGTTTGTAAGTTGGTGGGTGATGTCATTCTGTATGCTGTGAATATGTGTTGCTCTGACTGGTTGATAAATAAAGCTGTTTGGCCAACGGTGAGGCAGAGTAAGGTTAGGGGGGACATTCTAACTCGAGAGAGAGGAAGGAGAAAGACAGAGAAAGGAGACACTGCTAGCTGCTGCCAGGAAAAGCAAGATGTAAAAGTACCAGTAAGCCACAAGTCACATGACAAACTATAGATTTATAGAAATTGGTTAATTTAAGATGTAAGAGCTAGCTAGTGAGAAGCCTGAGCCATTAGACCATATCATTTGTAAATAATATAAGCCTCTGTGTGTTTATTTGGAACCAAGCGGCTGTGGGACATGAGTCAAGAGATTCTGCAGGACTGGAGAAAACTTCTGGCTATAGTAAGTATGTGAGAATGTGTGTGCAACAATGGTGCATATGTGGAGGTCAGAGGACAACTTCCAGGAGTCCATTCTCTCCTTTCACCATGTAGGTTGTGGGATGGAGCTCAGGGCATAAGGCTGGGTCTATGTCCTCTTACCTGTTGAAATATCTCAGTGGTCTTCCGTCATGATTTTTGAGACAGCGTCTTAGATCAGATCTGGAGCTCACTAACTGGCTTGATTCTCAGGCCAGTGACCTCCAGAAATCTGCTTGTCTCTGCCCATAAGCTCTTACAGCACTAAGGTCACAGGTGCTGCCAGAGCCAGGCTTTGATGAGGAGGCTAGGGATTGAACCTAAGTCTTCTTGCTGGAACAGCAAGTAATGTACAAACTGAACCATTTCCACAACTTTCCCTTGTAACTCCCCCAGATAGTCAGACTATAGAACTGATAAAAGTGAATACTCATCTCTCTGGTATAGCAGCCTTACCAAGGCACAGAAGGAGAAATCAGTAAATGAGAGAGGGCAGTAATGCAGGGAGAGGTTGCAAGAGGCTGGGACGAAGAGCAAGTGCATCATGCAGGTGACAAAAGCAATTCCTTAGGACCACAGAGTGACCTAGATACCTTTCCTGAACTGCGGCATGGCTTAGCGGATAAAGCCATGCGCTGCCAAACCTGATGACCTGAGTCAACAAACCCCAGGACTCACGTGGTAGGAAGAGAAAACTGACTCCCACAAGTTCTCCACTGATCTACACACACACACACACACACACACACACACACACACACACACGTTTTAAATGTATTTTTTCTCACAACTACTGGAGAAAGGAGAGGTATGGAGATCTACCATACTATTTATAGGAGAAACCTTTGTTACCACTAAAAACCCAAAGTTTCAGTGGTGGTGTCCTCACCACCTCTGCCTGTTCCACCTTTCCTCCTCCTCTATAGGAGGAAACTAAAATCTTCCCATTTAAACAAGAATTGCATACTAACCTGCCATTTACCTCCCAGCCAACTTATTTTTTATATGACATTGCATTCAATTCTCACACGTCAACAAAGTTACTGTTTATTTTCGAGAAGAATTATTTATTTTAATTTTGTGTTCATGAATATTTTGCCTGTGCATATGTATGTGCACTACATGTGTACCTGGTACCAGCAAAGTCAGAGAGGGCACGAAACCCCACAGAACTGGAGTCATAGACAGTTACGAGTCACCGTTGTATGTGAGTGCTGGGAAGCACACTGGGTCCCCTCTGCGAACAGCAAGTGCTCTGAACTGCTGAGCCATCACTCCACATCCCAGGTCTGAAGTTTCAGAAGAAGCAGGTCTACTCTAGGGCTCAATAAACGGAAGCATGAGCAAGGAAACTGAGCTCATTTCTCATACACTGAAGTATTCTGCTGCTCAGAGTGGGGAAATGATTTGCAATTGTGAATGCCCCGGTTAAAATAGCCATCACCATCATAAGTGATGGTGAGACAGATCAACTGAGCAGCTGTTCTCACCGGCCAATCGTTATGCTACATAAATGAGCCCCGGGACACAGACAACAACTATATAGACTCCTAAACTCTGACACAATCCTCCCTTCCACTTTTTAGGACCAAATGAATGAGCCATTCACAGAAGCCGTGATGATTCAGTATGGTATCTCATTGTACATTAATGAAAATGGTATTTGCTACTATGCCTACTTTGCTTTTGTTGGAGTGATTAGACATAGGGCCTCACATACGCTATGTGCACTGAGCCTCACTGCATCATAATCCCATGCTTTCTTTTTGCTTATTTTTGATCAGGGTCTCACTACACTGCCCAGTTTGGCCTTGAATTCACCCTTCAGCCCAGAATGACCTTCAGTTTTTGATCCTCCTGCCTCACTCTCACAAGTATCTGGAATTACAGAAGTTCCCTGGCCTAGCTATATCTATCAGTCTCAGAGGGGGAAAAGTCCTTATTTGTCCGTAAGCAGAGCCAGTTTGTAGATTTAAATATATAGACTGGGAAAGACAGGGTGTAGCCAAATCTTGCTTTTCCTTGAATAAGTAAAACACCAATATTTCACTTTTCAGTTTCCTTCCTGAACAGCATTTCACTGAGAAGTACTGAAATTTGGAAATAAATGGGTAAATGGGCTTGAGGTCAGCATCCATCTTGTGACCTGAGCACTTAGGGGTATATGGGGAGTGGGGCAGATGCCACCCATAAACTGTGGCTTTCAATTTCTAGAAAATGCTAAATTCATTTTGTTTCTATTGTTTTAACAGACATTCCTAACTCTGTTACTCTGTTAATATCCCCACTCTATAAAAACAGATGCCACCTAATTTTAAACTCACAGTGTGGCATTTCTGAGCAGTTGATGAGCATTCGTATAGTGAACTGCAGCAAATAGAAGGTTCACATTCTACCTTGAAACATAAAACAGAATAATGCATTTTTGATAGAATGGCTTATATCTTTGGACAATGTCTCCAAAGTTGTAGTACATTCAGAACACGTGATAACCTAGCAATGCAAGCTATTTTCCTTTTTCACTACACAGCAAAACAAAATTTTCCCATTTTAGTAAGAGTTATATACTAGGATTCTCTGTCTCTATGAGTGATAAATCCCCATAATGAGCCATGATTTAACTGATCCATCCAACGGAAAATGTTGATGTAACAGTTTGTTACTCCTAAACAAGACAGAAGAGTTCTCTTTCAAGCCAAGATGTTCATTCTGACTCCTGACACCCATGTAATCACCCTATCCAAGCAACAAAGACCTCTCCCCTCTACGTGAACTCAATCATGCAACAAATCTCATCTGAAACTATTTAAATCACTGTATCTTAGACTTGCTAAGACATCACATTGTAAAGAAATTTCTCTAAAAAGTATTCCAAAGTCACTTAAAAGATTATTCAACTAGACAGCCATTGCTGACTTGAATTATTTAAGTATATTAGTACTTACCTCTGGACATGTAGAACTTGTCAAACTCCTTATTTTTATAGATCAGGTAAACACAAAGTTCTTATACAATAATATACACCATTATGTTTCCATAGTAGAGGACATTTTATCACACCTCAATCAGTACCTCAAATATCAACGGATAATGACCAGCAAAGCTTGGAACTTGCCCGATCAGCCCAGCTAGAAGACATAGTCTAGCAGGATGGGTTCATTCTCATCATTTGTCTCGATTTTTTTAATTTTTTTTTTTACTGCTGTGATATTCTTTTGTTTGCCTTTTGCTTTCCAGAGATAAATGTTTATATGCTGAATATTCTGCTACACATTTCAAATGTGCTTGTTGCCATCAAAGTAATCAGATTTTATTTTTCACCGACATGATTAAAAACAGAAAAGCAAGCATTGGTACAAATATTACATGGCACACATTTGATCATAAAATGACTATGCAGAACAAATAGTTCCAGAATATGTTCACATTATTTAAATACCAACATCAAACAAAAACACAGACCATAAAATGATCACAGACAATATGTAAGCCATCATAAAGCAAAGCCAGAATGAAAAGCAAAAACAATTAGTTTCATTTAAAATGTAGTGAAATTCTTACTGGGCAGCAAAAAAGTTGTACTACATTGTTAGAGTGAGCTAGGTCTTGTTAGGATCACAAATAGAAAAAAAATCACATTTTAATTAGTTTGTGAAATATCACATAATCTCCGCAAGACTCATATATACCTCATGTGTGTCATCTGCAACTTCCAAAATATCTTATGCACATGACAGCCAAGGGTGGAACAGTTTGGGGGAGGGAGGGAAGAAGCCAGAGGAGGGTCGGGGAGTAGGAGAGGTTTGCAGGAGAGAGCAAAGCATGATGATGTGATGGCACTTATGCATGAAGGGGTCTGAGGGAAGCCCATTATTTCATATGTTAATAAAAGAAGTTAGTTGCAATGTTAAGAGACTGAAATGCAAAATCAAGTTCTCACCTTTTGCTGCCTCTCACTGACTTGTCTCCCTTCCTCCAGGAGATGGTTGGCTTGGGAGCGCCCTGAGGTCGACACTCTATGAGGACTTCCCGGTCTTTGGTAACAATTATTGTTTTCTTCACTTGATTCAGTTCAAAAGAGGGTGGTGAGGCTATGGTAAAGACAAGGGTGTTCCATCAGAATGAGCTGAGGACTAAAGTTAATCCACTCACGTGTTCAACTCTTTTCTCTGGGAAACATTTCTCTTCAAATCTCATGAAAAAATATACAACATAAGCACAAAATTTAATTTGTTATTAATGAACAAAGATCTTGTGGTTATCTGTCCATTATGACTGCATATGTGGCACTACAAATAAATAGTACTTTGATATACAACAGGCTTTATTTATGATTATGGAGGTCAACTTTGAAAGACTGCGCCTCGCTAGGCGGTGGTGGCACAGCCCAGTGGTGGTGGTGATGGCACAGTCCGGCGGTGGTGGTGCACGCCTTTAGTCCCAGCACTCAGGAAGCAGAGCCAGGAGGATCTCTGTGAGTTCAAGGCCAGCCTGGTCTACAGAGTGAGTTCGAGGAAAGGTGCAAAACTACACAGAGAAACCCTGTCTGGAAAACCAAAACCAAAAAAAAAAAAAAAAAAAAAAAAAAAAAGAAAGAAAAGAAAAACTGCGCCTCACTTGGACATTGGTTAGGAGCTCAGCCAAGAGAGTCAATTTTGGGTTCTGTATCTCTCTTTGTACTACAGGCCATCCCAGAACAAAAGCTCAGGAAACCAACTGAGTGTGACAAAGCAAACATGGTTTGCATGTCCCCAACACTCCAGCCTTACTCTGAGAAGTCTGGGTGAAATTTCCTGACACTATTCAGTTGTGGACTTGAGCTCATGTCCAGTCTTACCTTAGCAAAGGTGGAACTTTCTATGCTTGTTCTTTGGACCCCAGAAAGGCTTTTCTTTCCAATGCAGACCTATAGTACCAGGTGCTTATGAGAAGGGGCTGGCTATTCACTCTGGTGTCACATACATGATTACAGTGGTAATCAGCAACTACTTGGGAGAACATTAGCATTTCTACAGGAAGAGGACAGGTTGACCAAATACTAGAATCCCTGTCCTAGTTAGTTTTGTTGACTTGAATCAGCCTAGTGTCCTCAGAGAGAAAGCCTTGGTTGAGGAACTGCCCAGAAAAGATTGACCTATGTGTATGTGGGATTGTCATGATTATTACTTAATACAAGAGGGCCCAGCTCACTGTGGGTGACAGCATTCCTAGGCTGGTACTTCTGGGCTGTCTAGAAAAGTTAACTAAGCATGAATCCACTTGAGCTAGTAAGAAGCATCCCTCCATAGCTTCTGCTTCAAGTTCTTGTCCGGATGGACTGTGACCTGGAAGTGTAAGGTAAACCCTTTCCTCCTTTGAGCTGCTTTGGATATGGTGTTTTAATACAGCAAGAGAAAGGAAGCAAGAGTAGCCCCTTATACACCCTCAAGGTGAAAATTAACATATGCAATACATAATTTTATTTCATGTCAATATCAAAGACATATTGTAACATCCATTTAAGATGAAGACTAAAGTCATGCACATACACATGATGGGAGAAGCTGCAGAAGGGAAAGCTATCTTCAAGAGCTTACAGAATATCAATGAGATACAGTGTTTCTTTTCAAGACATAAAATACGTTTGAGATTCACAAAGTAAAACTTCACTATAGTAAGAATGGGTAGGAAAAGAATCCAAACTTCTTTCCTGTGTATTTGCTGAGAAACTGCATACCTAGGATCTTCAGCTCAGCGCTCGCATAAATAGCTCCATATTTATTCTCAGCCAAACACTGATACATTCCAGCGTCTGATTGGTTCACACTATGGATCGCCAATACTCCATTAACTGTATCCACTCTGCTCTGTAATGGAATACAAAAAGGTGAGATCTAGTAAACAGCTCAAGCCAACCATCTAAATCAAATATTGGAAACCACCCAAAGGAGGTCTCCAATTAATGCAGTTAAATAAACATTACTGTGCAAGTTAATTATTTAGTACAGTATTATGCCTTTTGGAAATTATGATTTCTTGCTCAGTATTTTTTGTTTCTTTTCTGAGGCAGCTTTGTTTGGCAGACTAGTTGAATCCAAGAGAAGAACCAACAGAGGATAAGTTGACAGATATTCCTTTAACAAAGCAGAAGTCAAAACTAGGCCCAGTCTGGAAAGAATCGAGAGTTTGGAACAGAATATAGGTAAACAACCACCAAGGTCATAGCAATGGTCCTTGTGTCCATCTGGCCAGATATTTGACACTTTTTTTACTTGTTAAACAACTAACAGAGATTAACAACAACAATAATAGTAACAACTATCCTATAGTTAGGTTCTATACACAATTATCAACTGGAAAATACAAACTTCATTATTATGTGGAGGTTTTTTAAAAGCAGATCTGACATGTGTAAGTTGAGGAAAATCAAGGTCAAAGAGCATATCTAGAAGGAAAGAGTACAACTCAAAAACAAATTTCACCATTAAAATGTTAAAAATAGAGTTATTTTCTTTTAAACTTAACAATGACCACATCTTAGGTTTTAACATCTTCATGAGTAGGGATTCCATTATTAATCGTTAGAGACGTGAAGTAATTTGATACCATTTTTAACATAACCCATTCATTCAGCAAATATCTGGCTGAGAGATTTGTGTGACCTGAATGTTGGGAATAAAAGATCCAACCATCATTGCTTCACCTAGGAGGAATCCCTAAGAAGGTTAGTGAGGAAGAGCTTATAAACTGGAACCTATGTTTGCTTTCATGGCTTTGTATTTGTACCTGGCTTTTTGTGTAGCTACATTTTCTTTAGGTTTACCTGGCTTCAGAACAAGAGAATACCAGAGTTTGATAAAACTGTCGGAAAGGTCTGGTTTTAAAATGGAAGAAACTGAGGTTCCAGGAGGTAAATAGTACACAAGTCACATGGTAACATCACACTGCCTGACAGGACTTTGCACTCAGCTAAAACTGTCTGCACGGATCCTCTGTGTTGGTTATAAATATTGAACTATTCCTCTTCTGATCACCTTCCTGTGAAGGTCACAAGCAAGGAAGAGAGCTATTAAAATTAACCTCCTTATTATGCAATTAAAAAGTAGTCAATGTAAATTTGGCATACAGAAAATGGTTTTATAAGTATTCAGTAGATTTACTGAAAAGACATATGTTAAGTGTGAAAATCACCAAGTTTGTTCCCTCCCTAGGACACAGGTCACCACAATTCTATTCTAGTTTTTATTCATACAGAAACATAAACCTAAATAATTCTGTACTCCAGATAAATTTCATCATGTGCACAATGGGGACCCCAAGCTAAATGATATCTAAAGGTCAGTTAGAAATGGTAGCAAGTCTATGATGATCAATGAAATTTTCCTATGAATTTATAGGCTTTAAATAACTTTTGTATAATGTACTACTCCAATCAGATGATTAAAATAATGAATGATTTTTATATATTACATAGGTATATACACACATATCAAAAGGTAAAAGAGGACCATTTTATGCTGCATGCCATGTATATTGGGTAGTTTTATGTCAGCTTGATACAAGCTAGAGTCATCAGAGAGGAAGGAGCCTTGGTTGAGGAAATGCTTCCATAAGATTGGGCTGTAGGACATTTTCTTGACTAGTAAATGATGGGGGAGGGCCCAGCCCATTGTGGGTGTTGCCATCCCTGGGCTGGTGGTCCTGGGTTCTATAAGAAAGCAGGCTGAGTAAGTCAGTACACAGCACACCTCCATGACTTATGCATCAGCTTCTGCCTCCAGGCTCCTGCCCTGCTTGAGTTTCTGCCCTCACTGCTGTTGATGATGGACTGTTACAGGGAACTGTGAGAGAAATGAACACTTTTTTCCCAGAGTTACTTTTGGTCATGGTGTTTCATCACAGCAATAGCCACCCTAAGACACCAGAGTACTTAAATTACTAGGCAGAAGTTCTGAGTTCCCACCATACCTGTGGCCGGAGGGGTGCTCCATTCTTCAGCCAGCGGTATGTGGGCCTGGGCTTTCCAGTAGCCTTGCATTCCCACTGCAGAGGGCTCCCACTGTCCAGCTGGGTGTCGTTCAGTTTCTGTACCCAGTGTGGGTATGCTGTAGCATTGAGGCAGAAAAGAAAAGTGAACTCAGTACATTTACCACATCTAACCTTCACAGAGGAAAAGTCACTGAATTTCCACAGATTTAGTCCTTACTTATAGCATTCACATAAGCACAGGGGAGCACATCATTACACAGGGGGGCATGCCACTAAACAGGAGAGAAATTCATTGCAAAGGAGAGCCCATCATTATTTCACAGGGGGGCATGTCATTACACAGGAGAGAACATCCTTACACAGGGGAACACATAATTATTACACAGGGAGCATGTCATTATTACACAAGGAGAATGTCATTATTACACAGGGGACCATGTCGTTACACACAGAACTGTTCCCTGAACAACAAATAGGACAATGTGAAAATTATGCTTATTGAAGGTATTTCTGTAAGTGTAAATTATATCTTAAACACACCCATGTATGTATGTACACACACACACACACACACACACACACACACACAATTTTAAAGCAAGCAGTTTGTTTCTCTCCAGAGCTTGCATATAAGGGAGTCAGTCACTGCAAACAATGACTCTTGTGGATAGCATCACACACTAGGTCCTGTTAATAGTTGCTCAGATGTGTGTGTGTATGTGTGTGTGTGTGTGTGTGTGTGTGTGTGTGTGTGTGTGTGTGTGTGTATGTGTACGCGTGATGATTTTGGAAAACTAAATTTTTAGTTTGAATTTTATTTAGCATATTTTTTTCAGAATTTATTCACATTCAACATAATTAGTGAAAAAGTTTCAAAATCATAACATATAACAATTCCTTTATCATTAAACATTGTGAGCTTCCATAGAATGTACAAAATGAAAGTTAAAATGTCTTTTCTCTATTGACCTACTTGTAAATAAAATTTTCTTAAAGAAAATTACTCTGTGTTCATATATTTTGTTTAAAACATAGTCAAAGCAGGAGTATTTTTTACTGTAATTCCTTGTGTGCTCAGCATTAGACGCAACATCTGTATTTCAGAATAACGAAGTCACTCTGCACCTTGCATGTGACTGGCTGTGTCCTCAAATGCTGTTTGCAGCTGGTAGTACAAGTTGCTTAGCAACTGACAAAATAAAGGTCTTATTAAGTGCCACGCAAGTACACACATATGTGTGTATACACACATGCATGCACACAGACATAAGTACAAAGGAAATGTGGGTCGTGGGTCATGTTAAAAATGAAGACGAACTCTGTATTTCAAAAGTAAACCCAACTCATCATCTAAGTATCACGTGTGTTTGTGCTTATCACCTGTGACAACACATGTGGAACACAGTTACATTTAATACAAGGTCATCTCAGCTCTTAGGGCTTTTTTCTGTTGTTGTTCTTTGCTTTAACATTGCAAAGCATTTTGTAAACTGCTAGACATTCATTAATTATGTGGACCAAGTGATAAAGGATGCAGTGGAATGCAACTGATAGTATTTTTTAGAAACACACACTTGATTGTAGCATGAAAGTGTTTCATGACAGAGCAGAGTAAAGTCCAGGTAATCTGACATCAGAGACATGAGGTTCCCGTTAAGGTTTTTCTGTTTTTGTTTTGTTTTCAGCAGATTACAGTTACTCAGGGGTGGGGTGCCTTTATTTTCTGAATAGAAATACAGGGTCAGCACACACGGCTTGGGCTGCATGGTGGGGAATTGTTCACTTATCTAGAAAATGGAAATCTGGGCCAGTGAGGTCAAGATGCTTACTTCCACACCTGACCACCTGAGTTCAGCTCCTGTGAGCCACATGATTGAAGTAAAGAACTTATTTCTGCAAATTTTCCTGTGATCTCCACATGCATTATACAACTCGTGCACACACCCACATAGACACAAACACATATGCATGCTTACAGGCATATACATATAAAAACACACCGCACATTTACAGACATATACATACAGCACAAACCTGTACACACAATACACATACAAACATACACACATGCAAAAATATGCACACACATATATACACATACACATACATGCACACATACCACACATACACACATGCATACATGCATCCACAAACACAGCATAAACACACATACTCCACACAGACACACACAGAGACACAGAGATGCACCACACGTACACATATACATGCACACACATAAGAACACACATACAGATACATACACACACACATACACACAACTTAAATGGAAAAAAAAAATCCCAGGATTGGCTGCATTTGTAATAAACTTCATAACTTCAATCTGGCTTTTGCTGGACCATGTCCTTCAGGGCTTGGAAAACCGAGGAGACATATGGTCTTTTGAAGTGAGAAACCGTTATAACCGTGCTGGATGTACTGTATCCTGGCAGCTACTTGCGTGATACATTTGGGCTTCAGAACCGTCTCTGGGTTCCATTTTGTAACACATGGAGCAGATGTGCATAAAGAAAGCCATTGCTTATCCCCTCGTCATTGGGAACTCTGGAAGTCTCTCCTGACACACACTAAGTGATATTGGCTGCTTCCCTGCTCCTGTATCTTAAGTGTTGAGGACTTGACATATTTTACTGACATAGATCATTTTTAGTATTATGACTCTCAGCTGTGAGCCAGTGAGAGCTAATGTGTGCGCTGGATGATGCAGTTGGGGGTGAATATAGGTTCAAGCCCCAGTGTGTGGTGCCCTTGCTGTAATCTATAATTGGAAACGAGTTCCTTTATTTTAATGAGCCTCATTTGTAAGCTGTAGATGGTAATTCCTATTTCAACGGATTGCTATGATGATTGAACATAATAAACAGTGATTGATTCTTTGCCCCAACCCATCACCCACAGATAGATTCAATTTTATTTTTGATCAAGTATGAGCACATATGTGGCACCACTTTCAGAGGAGTAGATTCAAGACAAGAAAATGTTTCCCCATAGAAACAGGATTGTAGCATCACGGATAATTATAGAAATGGGAATTTATAAACTTATATAATTTTCTATGGTGAATCTGTGTGTATTTCTAGTAGTAAACCACCCTTTAAAATCAAAACATAGTCAAACTCAATTTTGAAGAATAAGAAAAATTGCAAGAACTTTAATGTGTCCATAGGAATCATCTCCCTTGTAGTATAGTTAGCAGGGATGGCGCTAAGAGTTGAACTCTAGTCATTAATTCCAGATTAGATTGGATTCTGTTCTCTGTTTGTTTGTAACTTTTAAAATTCAGTTTATCATTTTTGTGATGTGGATGTTAAGTGTAACACTGCACATCTATTAATTTTTTTTTAAAGCATAGCTATAGCTCAGAGTCTCCGGCTAACTTCTCACAACCGTTTATAACATCTCATGCAGTGCACATGCTGTGTGAGTACAGGGCTGGCTGGGGAAAAGATGGTAAGAGGAAGGTCTGCGCCAGTGTCAGCTCGGATAGACAACTCCCCATCCCCCCGGTGTCTTCAGGCCCACATTCTCTTCTGAATATGCCCTTTCCCCATCCATAAAACAAAGTGTTTTCTTGTGCCCTCCCAGCCTCTCCCTTTCTTGCCTCTTTTAGTTTTCTGTCTCATTGGTCCTTTCTAGCATCCTGCATCACACCCACACTTACTTCCACCTAAGCACAGCATGTGCTTTTAATCCAACTTGTAGTAATGTTTTTAAATCTCGGTAGGTGTGATATCTTCATTACTAAGTGCCAATGTGGTTAATGTGTGAAGCCCTGGCCATGCACAGCCTTGAACACAAGCTCTCGGGAACTATTTGTGAGTAGTCACTCTTCAGTCTTCCGATTCACTTGTCTCACACTGAATCCTGCAGAGTGATGTTCACATAAAAGCAGTAATAATTATAATAAGATTTTTAGTAAAATTTATCCACTGCTTCTTGAATAGCATGATTAGTTCTAGAAATATATATACATATATATACATATATATATATATATATATATATATATATATATATATATAACCTCAAAAAGTTTATCTTGAAAATGTGAAGACTTAAACTGTAGGTATTAGAACATATTAAAATTTGTGAAGATGCTGCCCAGGGGCTTAAAGACAGTCAGGATATCTAGACTATTATCTAGACCAACAATGCAGCTGTGTCCTTCCTGGGCTGTTTGAAACATTACAACTGACCTCTATTTGAAGCACCCTGGTTACAGATACATTAAATTCTGTTCAAGCCTAAACCATAGATACATTCTAGAGATTGTCACTACCCAAAATTACTGGCTGTGGTGTCCCATGTTACTTTTTATATTGTAGACCGCATAGCTTTATATAATATGTTTTCGGTACACAAATCACTTCCTTTCATAAGCCTCCCTCAGCCCTGCTTACATTCTGGCCGGCCACGTCACTGTCTGCCTTCTTCCTCTCTTTTCTCCCTGCTCCTTTCATTCCTTCAATCCTTTCCTTCCCCCTCTCTCCCTCTCTCCCCCTTTTCCCTTATTTGTTTTTTCTTCACCTGTTTTCTTCTTATTTAATCTTTTCCTTTCATTTTGATTGAGATTGTTAACAAGCAAGGTTCAATTTAATATGGGATGCAATTTTGTGTGGCAATTTAAAACAGGGCTTTTGAGTAAATCATCAGAAAATAGAGGTGACAGAAATAATCAAGGAAACTAACCCATAAAACTGTTGCACATGATATCATAGTATATTCACCTGAACAATTATGCAGTTTATTCTAAAACTCAAGTCACCCTCCATGTAGTACTTCTATTTTTGCTATATTTTTCTTGAATTTTACAGTTTAAACTTGTTTATACTGCACATATAAATTTACCTTCATTTTATTTTTTAATTTAACAACATGGGCTCCTTCATATTATATCATTTGTTACATTATATTTTAATACTAATGCTGTTATAAAATATCTACCATCTATGCTAGTTCTAATGCTTTGACAAACTGGGCTACCTCAGAATGCATCCTTCTTGTCTCACAGGCAGAGCTGTATAAACCTTCTGTATAACTCCTACTCCTCAAAAGGGAGCCCAATACAGACCACAGATAGAGGAGACTGTGCTACCCATGAGGTTGTACATGGGGAGCTTCCCTACACTCAGAGTCTTGGTTACCAGTCTGTAGGCTGATGGGAAGGGCTGGAACTTTCAGTAGCTGGAGTCTGTTAGAAGGTTTTAGTGCACTAGGGGTATGTCCTAATGGGGCTCAAGCCCCTTCCTCTCCGCTTCCTAGTTGACATGAGGTTAACATCTTTCCATGATGTGCTGCCTCACAATATGTGACAAGCCACCTTGGATTGAAGCCTCTGAAAACAGGAGCCAGCACTAACCTCCCTTCTTTTCAAGATGATTATCCCAGGTATTATGTCCTAGTAATGGAAAGTTTACTCATATGCATACCTGCTATTAGTCAAGCATAAATGTTCATCAAGACCCCACCTGCATTTTATAGTCACAAAAGTTTTGAATTACAGAAGTTGTATGAACCCAGATATTTTGGGGATTGAAACAATGAGATATTCATAATTTCCCCAAGGAAACAGACACAAACTGGGGTTACTTAGGACAAATCTAGATGTATGGTGCCATGATGGAGTTTGACAGAAAGTCATTCTAATTATGAGCTGGAGTGAGAGGTCACATTCTTTCAAGATGTCTTCCTGTTATGTTAACCATACATGGCAAGCAGTTAAAACTGGCCTAGTTTGTCTGCTTTGGTAACAATCTGTACTTTTTAAATTCAAAGTGATGATTCAGCATTAAGTTAAGAAAATTATTTTGGTACTGTTTGCAGCAATCATCACTGCCTACGAACCAACTAGCTGAGTCTGAACAGGCGCCAAAGGAGTCAGGTCAGCTAGGAGCCCTGGGCTCCACAGTCTATAATTCATTCTCTTTAGGAATATAGCATTTTTACAACCTAGGTGTGTGGGCATGTTTGTGATAGCACATGCAGCAATAAGCATTCTTTAATCTCTTTTGTAGTTTTAAACCATAAAATTCTGGTTAAATTCTTGTCTTTTATTACCAGATTTTTCTGCAAAGTGGATTAATACTCCATTCTGTCTCTATGAGAATAAAAATGTATTTCAGTGAGGTATGGCAAAACATTGGTTTTCTCTTTGTCTGCAGACTGTCATAATTATTTGATTTACGATGTTATGAACAGTTACAAACATTGAGTTTCATCCAAAATTAGAGACTTGGTAGATCACATAGCAATGTGACAGGTGCATCCACAGGTTGAAAGCTTCTGGCCTGGTACCCGTGTGCATCCTACAAGCTTCTCAGTGGTTAGGAGTAGCTTTCTTCCTGATGCTTTGTTCCATTCAGCCTTTCAGATTCTGATGGTTTTAAAATCCTAACCAGAGTTTTTCAGGACAGAATGTGGTTGGTCATGAGCCCTCATGATCCTTTGTATGTTTTCAGCTCTAATATGAAGTTCCACTTTTCCTCTAATTCAATGCCCTATTGCTAGGAAGTGGGCTAGTAAGAGGTACTTAGTAAACATGAATGAGTGAACTAACTGTTCAGGGAACAATCTGCTGATGAGATGAATTCCTGAAGGAGTTATTGAAGTCATAGATACAAAGGTTGAATTTAGTCATGAATGACAGAATAGTCTCAGAATCCCTGCACAGGGCATTTAGGGCATTAGGAATATGCACATAGCTGAGTGTCTAGGATGACTCAGCCGTGTGCACACTCCAGGCCTCTGCTTGTTCTTCTTTCTACCCTGGCTTCCTGTGGCCCTCTCCATTTGTTGTCTTCGACTGGGACATTATCATTTACCTACCTGTGTAGGCACGTGTGCAAGTGGATGTGTGTGACTCTTGGGGGCAAATGTAAGAGTGCAAAATGTCTGAGCCCCTTCAGCCCATTTCCTATGTCACTTAGCTAGCTGACTTAGCATTTTTGGAAAACAAACACTCGCAGGTTGCAGGAGCTATTTGAAATATGGAAGTATTATATTAGTTCAGGCCAGAGCTCAGCAAACTTCTCAGAACTGCTTGATACCAAATATTTCAGGCTTTGAAACTCAGTGGGTCACTGTCTCCATTGAATTGTGCCAGAGCCAAGCAAATACTGAAATAGAGCATTTATGAACAAACAGATATTTACTCAAATCAGCAGCTGGGCAGGATTTGGTACATGAGCACAAAATTTTGACCCCTGCATTAAGCCAAGGGCTAAAAAAGTTAATATAGTTATATATAGTTCATAAAATAAAACTTTAACTTAACGAATAATAGCTGTTTGTACCAGGTAAAGGTCTAATTTTTATGGATATAAACTCTCAATCATCTACAGGCTGACAATTCCTTGTTTATTTTTCTTTAAAATATTTTTGAATGTAGGCTCATTTTACATATTTCCTATACCAAAGAAATATGGTTCCAAGTTATTACTTGGATTTTCAGTGACAGATGAACAATATCTAGTTTGATTTGCATTTTCTATTTCACCCTTGGGCGAAAAGCTTTGTGATTTTCTGAAACACTCACTGTATATTTGTAGCTGTCCACGGAAGGAGTTTTTTCCACGGGAGTTCTCTGCTGTGCATTCGTATACTCCAGCATCATCCAGCTGCAGGTTGGGGATCTCCAGCACAGCCTGGGATTTCCGCAGTCTGGACTTACTGGGAATGTAACCGTTAACCTTCATCCAAGTGATTGTCGGAACAGGGCTGCAATGGGAGTGGAGGCGCTGTTAATATACTTCCCGCTATTAAAAACATAGATTCAGTTATCTGGTAATTTAAGCACTTAATAGGCTGAGCCCAATAAAACGTAATCACAATTAGGGCCCTGTGCCAGTGGATACAAGTTGCTTTCCACGTGGCTGTGAAATCACCAGGGAATCAAATCCTTCTCTTTCAGATTTCAGCAAAGCCTTAGAAAGACTGCACTATTATTTGCTAGATGTAAATGATGTAATTTTAAACAACAAATGTACTTCGGTGAATTTGCTAACAGTTTTAAAGCAGGAGTCAAACAAAAGAGTTGAGAATTAAACAGAGAAACTTTCTACCCTCACCTGTAGCAAATCTGTTCTTTGTAGCAACAATTTGCACAATGCTACACCTGGTCCCAGTCACACGTTTTGCTCCTCAATGAGCCATTTAGCTGTATTTTTCTTTTATTTAAAGTTTTTATATTTTCTATTTAATCACAAAGGTTTTATTAAATAAATACTAGCTTGCCTTTTCTCATTCATAGCTGTATATAACTCTGTTATGGAAAGTGTTGGCCGACAGTCCCTTGTGACTCAGGGTTCAGGACAGCCCTGCTTTCCTTCTGGGCTTCTCTTTCCTTCTGTATCAGACCGAGACACTGATGCACTGCTCTGTTGCTTCCACGATTTACAGGAGACGTTCACAAAGGCAGGATTAATGGACCAAAGGGCATGCCCATTTTTCATTTTAATAAGTACTGGCAGACTGTTTTCCCGTAATACAGTAGAAGTTCCTACACCTATCAGTAATATATGATATTTTCCCCCTGTATCCTTGTCAGGACTGTGTGAGATTAATTTACTTAAAAAAAAAAAGAAAAGACCTGTCTATGTCCAAACCAGACAAAAATCCGAGCATTGAGAAGGAGAAGTGGACACAAAGTCATATGCCTGACAAGAAGCGTATTAATACCCACTGGTGAAAGGTAATCAGTTTTCTCCAATGGAGTGTCCAAATTCCAGTGCAGGTCTCATGCCCAGAAGTAGTTGGCCAACACAAAAGGGTCTGTTTTTTTTTCTTTCGTTACATTTTTGTCTCACTGCATTTTTGGGTTTGACTTTGTTTTTTGAGAGAAAGAGAGAGAGGAGAGAGAGAATGATTCAGGTGGGTAAGGGATGTACAGCAGTCTGAGAGGAACTGGGGGAGGGGAAATAACATGATCAAAATGTATCATATGAAAAAATACATGAAAGGAATTTGTTTCTAAATGTACTTAGTAGATTACATATAGTTATGTGCATATATATATATATATATATATATATATATATATATATATATAGCAATAATAATTCAAGAAGAGATCATGAATTTGGGAGTGAAGAGTGATGTAGATGTAGTGCTCATTTATAAGATTATCAAAAAAGAAACTATTAAAATAGAATTTGTTCCTCAGCAATTCTACTCTCTGCCTCTCTCTCATCACATGAGGGTTTCTGAGCCAGGATCTTAGCAGTATGCTTTCCATAGGAAAGCAAACAAAACTGTGGTTTTCTTCCTGAGCTCCAGACCTTTGCTTGTCTAGAAAATGATTTCAAAACTCAAGTGTAGTCCAACATTTTTTGCAGAGTTTTGATGGCAATTTTCAAACTTCACTTTGGCATTTGGCTGTCATCCTCTTGGACTACTTTACTGTTCCTGTGTGATACAGGGGTGGAATTCACAGTTTCAGCATCACTAATGACACTCAGTGGCCCACCATGGCTGGAACCTCGTGTTCTCTTCTACACATTCTTCTGCACTCAAATCTCTCCCAAGCTCAGCTCTGTTCCACCGACTTACTTCTTGATATTTACACATGCTACACTTTTTATGATAGACCCTATGTATTTTCCCTCTCACGGCCTCCTTCTCTATTTTGGGATTCAGAAATATACCTTTGTGTCTCTAATCCCTTCCTTGGCCCAGATCTTATTTATATACTAGCTAGATGGTGACTTTTTAAAAAATAACAAGTACTTTGTTGAATCACCCATAATATTCTTCGCTGAATCATCAATGATGAGTTTAGGGGATTTTTGGAAAGTAATTTTAAACAAAAAAAATATTTTCTCTAGTAGGAATAATAGCACTGTTCATTGCTGTATGTGTGTATCTCTCTCTCTCTCTCTCTCTCTCTCTCTCTCTCTCTCTGTGTGTGTGTGTGTGTGTGTGTGTGTGTGTGTGCGCGTGTGTGTCTGTGTGTCTGTGTGTCTGTGTGTGTGTGTGTGTGTGTGTGTGTGTGTGGTGTGGGTGACACCAGCAATCAAATCTAGTGCATGCTAGATTACACCACGACTGAGGCACATATTTCAGGTCCTTGGTTCCCTGTTCTGGAAGATGGATGGAGAGGGAGAGGCCACCCAGCTAACTTCAGCACCTCCCTTACCTTTAGCACTGCTGTGTACCTGTGCCACTTTATAGGTTCATATATCTTTTAAAACATGAAATACTGGGCTGCTGAGATTGCTCAGCAGGTAAAGATGCTAGCCACCAAGACTTGATAACCGGGGTTCAATCCATGAGACACACATGGTAGAAGGGAAGAGCTGACTTCTGTATGTTTTCCTCAGACCTCTACATATATGCCAGGGTGCATGTGCTCCCCTCCCCACAAAAGTAAATACATATACAACAAAATATTAAATAAAAATTTGTATAAGACAGCATTTCCTGTTCTTAACTCTTCACTCATGTATTCTAGATATAATTCCCATCCTTGTCTAAATATGAATTTCAGGAGATCTCATATTTCCATATCTATACTTTTTTCTACTGTTTTTATTATGTTTTACAATCATTGTTTGAGTGATGGTATCTCTGGTGGTACAGTGGGCCTTTGGAAGAAATACATAAAATAATTGAAGACAAATCATTCATATTTTCCCATTACTCACTTACTGGTTTCAACTCAACAGTAGAGGTTTGTCCTCTACTGTTTTATATCATTTTATATAAAGTTTTTCATTCTATGCCAATTAATTCATCCATATTCGAATACCTTAAAGCTCAATATTTTCATATTACTCACCTTTTGTAACTGTAAAATCTGAATTTATATTTTCCCCAGATTAAAGTACAAGTTACTCAATGAGCACTTATTTTTCATTGCATTTCAATTCTTTATATCATTTCTTCCTTAGTTTGCAGGCTGCAACCCAGTCAGTGAGATTAGCTGCCCCTGATTATATATACAAAACACTGTATCGAACTGTAGGAAGCAAAATTCAAGTTGCCAATGTTGTCTTTCCTAAATGCTGAATGTCTTAATTCTTAATAGGTTATCCATTGACTTTATAGGTACTGACTGAGTCATTCAAGCTATTTTATTAAGAGGTAATACAATCCTAATTTCTTTGAATTTAATGATTTAATCTACTAGGAAAGGCAATAATTCATAAATGGGGAGAATAAATGATAAAATGGACTCCAAGGTTGTAGGGGAGATCAGGAAGTGATCCAGAATGGAGACTGTGTCACACAGGAGGGAATGATTTTGAAAGTAAGAGGGACAAGAACATTCTGATGCTAAGGAAAGAAAGGCGATGTGTCAGATATAGTCAACGGTGCTTCCATACTGAGAGGACTTAGAGCAAAGTGTGTGCTGACCTGGGGCAAGTGTTCACATATCCAGTGGCCAACTGCAGCAGTAAAGCTTTGCAAGCTCCTTGCTGTCTGTCAGAACAGTGTTTGAAATAAGTAATGAAGTGGTTGTTCAAGATCTTCAAGGCATCTTTGATTTCTTTAGAAAGCAAACTGAAATGCAAGATTCAAATACAGAAAGAGGAAATAAAGGTTGCTTGGATGAGGAGGTTGCTGGAGTGAAGGGAGGGGGAGTTCCTCCTCAAGAGCTGTGAAGAAGACTGAAAGGACAAAGACAATGTCTCCTGCATGAAAAAAGCAGCAGTTCTGTCTTGGTGTACACCGTGAGCACGTGGTGTAACAGGCTGTTGGCACTTTGTATGCATTCGTAGGTGGAGAGTGCATGGTTTACACAGGAACTCACCACAAGTTTATGGGAAGTGCCTGTTTCCCATGATAGAAAGAGAGGCCATTTTCATAAGATGAAATTATTTAATGCTTTGTATTTTTCTTTACTTCTGTGTTGAATTCTCAAGATTGGTCTTTTAATTATTAGAAGTTTCAGAATAGAAAAACAATAAATAGCATTGGTGGGGTGGTTGAACATTGATTTGGTTCTGGACATCAGCTACTAGTAAATGAAATGGAGACCTGAAGCCTCTTGGCTCTGAGAATAGTTTATAGGCCCTTGGGGTCCCCTTTATCGTCTGTGCTGTTCATGACAACGGAGCAAACCAAAGAACTTCTGTTACTTTCAAGTATCTTGTTTATAATCTAGCTTGATACATTCATTTTTGGGGGGAGGGGGGTTCAAGGGCTTAGCATTGAAAAATGCATCTCAGGATACTGTAATATTTTTTATTGACTTAATGTTGTAATATTATCCAACACACACTTCCCATCACAAAAATCTGAAAATGAAGTTATTACTCAGAAAGATGGCTGGTTTAGCCTATGCTGGAAGAATAAGTAGAAATATAAATTTTGACAGAAATGCAAAGAACAGTTATTTCTATCTTATTGAAGATGTGTTTAAATTATATTTCTTTAGCCACACATTGGATTCTCGTGTGCAATAAGCACAGGAACTTAAAGAAGATAAAGAGTGTTTAAAGTTTGCATTATATTGTTATTCATCTGGCTCAGAAATATCTATCAATAACAGAAGATTATGTGAAGCCACATTGAAATTCTGACACGGCTTCGTGTTAGCACCATCACAGTGACAGGAAGAAAAGTGTCTCCAAATGTAGTTCTGAAATGTAAGGCACGTGTTGGACGAACTTTAGCCTTCACTGAAGTCATTAAGGCATTTCTTAAAGATCATTTTATACACATGATGAAGTAATGTGTAGAATCTGTCAAGACAGAAGGAGGACTTAGCTGTAAAG